CATATCTGACCCCTGGTTTTTGTTCTACCACTTGGGGCACTATCTCTTCTCTTCTCACTGTGTCAGGTAAGGGCACTAGGACGTCCCTCCTCTATCCATCCCTTCCACCTGTCATGCCATGTCAACTGCCCTTTTATTTTTGTATTTTCAAGGTATCACATTAGTATTCTGGGTTGTAACTGTGAGTACTTTTTCCACAATCTGTTCAATGTGGCTCCAAGCTAGGATCACGGCTTTTTTTGTTGGGGCAGCTGCCCTCAACCTCCTCATTATTCATCTTCTATTTCTTTTTGTTGTGTGGATTGATTAATAGCCTTCTTGCCACCCATATCCTGACCTACAAGAGCCACATTCTATTAACTGTATCTTCATCCCTCTGTAGGTTAATGCCCCTGAACTGCCACTTCAGCCTCACTTGCTGTTCAAGGGCCTTCCGTGCCCTTTCTGTGAAGCTGAAGAGGGAGTTCAGATATCAGCAAACACCGTCTCCTTCTCCTGGCTTCTCCAGCACTGAGCTCCCACCCAACCTGGGCCACTTACTCTCTGAGTTCAGATTGATGCTTCCCTTTTGGGTGGCTGTGCTTGGTGGCTCTCAGCCTCCTCCTGAATTAACCTGTGGTGGTCAGGCAGGAGGGGTCAACCAAGGAAATCATGAGGGCCTCAGCCTGTGCAGGCATAACAGGGATTTACAAGGGGAGCAGCCATTTCCTGTGTGTCGCCCTTTTGTATCATGCCAACCAAGCTGGAGCCTCTGAATCCAGCGAGTTCCCCTTCTTCATGGGAGGACACCGCTGAGATTTTCACTCACACCCTGTAGACAATCGATCGTGGCTGTGAAACCCTCTCTGTAAGCCATTTTCACCCCGATCCCCAGGTGGGCCCGCATGCTGGCTGTGTCTGGATCCCTGCGGGCCGTGATCCTGCTCTGAGGACCCCAGAGCTGCTGTTCCACATGGACGAGTCCCGGAGGAAACTCGGCGGCCTGCCCTTCCCTTCCTTTCCAGATCATGAGAAGAGGTTGGCAGTCGGTAGTGATTTTTCTCAGGGATCTCTCCACGACCTACTTTTCCCCCTTAGGGTAATTTGACTGCTTTTCTTCTTCCCTTTTGGGCACTACATATTGTCAATGGCATAAAAGCAGGATAATCCTGGCAGGCAGGCCTCGCACCTGCAGCCTGAGGGAGAAGCCAGCACTTTCCACCCTCATTGCCAGCTTCTTCAGACTTACTTAGAGGTTGAGTTTATCTATTTGGTTCTTAAATTCCACATTCTTGGGTAAAACAAAAAGCGGTATAATTGATGTGTTGCTGTTAAATAAAAATGGGAAGTTAACAGTCACATCTTGATGACACTTTGGTTAACGAGACCCTCCATGCATGAGGACAGAGGAAACGTACGGTCACTTTCCATATATATCATTGCCAGATGTGCTCAGCACCTTCTGTGTGCCAGACGTGCTCGGCGTGTTCTCACTTGACCCTGACTGCAGGCTGATGGAACACATTGGGTCCATCTCATGGCTCTCAATGTTCAGATAAAAAAAGTGAGACACAGGAGGGCCTGCTGGCACCCTCGGGCGGAGACTCGTCTGTACATCTTGGCGACTTCCATGGCAGGCGGTAGAATCCCCTACACATAATGAGGGCCCTAAATGTTTGTGAGAGAGTAAAAGTGCCCAAGGTCACTGAGCTAGTTTTGTCTCTGAGCTCCTAATCAAATGTTCTCTCCGCTAATCCAAGCTCCCTTTCTCTGAGTGAGCCAAAGTTTTTGAAAACAGTAAATGAGGAGATTTTAATAGCTTCAAAACTCCAAAGAAAAAACAAGCCAGAAACATGAAAGAAAACAAGTTTTAAACATACAAAAAGGAACAGATTCCAGAAATCCATGATGCTGCTTATCCCGTGACCACCTCACCCATTGCATCTTAAATGGACAAGTGGGTCTGAAAAGGCAAAGGGAGGGTCTATTCTTTACAGAAAAGTCCACCTGCCTTTTGGGCCTCCAGGCCCAGGTGATCTGTGTAAGCTCGGGTGGCAGCAGTCCACCCCACACCCCCTGACCTCCCGCACTGCCCTGCATCCTTCCTCCTGATCCCCTCCCTGGCCCTCAGATGTGTCTGGAGAGAGGTGCCCTGATGTCAGAGCAGGCCCATGCACCATGTGCAGTGAATTGAATCCATGCATCACTCTTCAAGGAGCAGGAGCTAATGCAATCAAGGCCCAGCCTGGAGCCTCTGCAGCATATTACAGCCATCAATCACCATTCTTACCCAACAGCCTCCTTGCAAGTTGCCTGAGTGAACACTGGAGGTGCTTCTGGGGCTGACAAGTGTTTGCTGAGTTTTAACTACTTTTGTGTCTCTCTTGATACAAGATTTGGGTTATTTAAATAAGCTATGGTCTCTTACTTTGCAGTCAGGAATCTGCTCGGGATTTACCACTAGAGTGAACGTTGGAGACTTTCATGTCCTGAAAAGACCTTCTTTTCCTCATCCTCTCTGTCTTTGGAGGTGCTGCACTTAGGCCCACCTTCCCACCTGCTGCCAGCATTTCCCACCCCGTGCAGGGCCCTGAGGAGTGGGCTGAGAGGCACAGAGGACAAACAACATATTCACTCTCTTGTTGAGTAAAAGGAGAAGTCGCCTGCTTGCTCCAGGGCTCAGCACCCCTAACCTGTAAAATCACCTGTAATAATCCCAGGTATGCATCTAGTGTGCCGTGTTAACATAGCCCTTTGGTCCTCATTTTGTCTAAGTCAATATTTACACCAGTCCTCTGAGGGAGTATCATTATGTCCATTTACTCAATTAATATACTCATTTATGGAGTGCTTAGCGTGTTCCATACTAAGGTACCACCATTCAACAAATAATTTTATGATTATAGTGCCTGAAGAAGGCTTTTTATGAGACTTGTTTTAAGGAAACTGAAGTCCAGAGACACTAAGTAACTTGCTCAAGGTGAACAGCTTTGAGTTCATGGCCCGTGTGAGCTTTTCACTGCATCTCAGGGCAATTGCTTAGGGCTCAGAAAGAAGCCAGGGCACAAACTCTAGGGGTCATCATCTGCCATCCAGACTTTCCTTTTAAGGACCCACACTTGGCTTGCAGAGTGGGAAGAGAGAACTCTTCTCTTATCAAAAGATCAGAAGGGTCTTTCAGATACAAGGAGCCCTAGACCTCCATAAACCCTGCGGCAAGATCTCAGGATGCCTGCACTGCAAGCGGTGACCCTCTGAGGCTTAGCAACAGTCACCACTGCCTTGTGCTCACACACAAAAGTCAGCCTGGCTTCATGGGAAGAGAAGGCTTGGGGTTTGAGGTGGTGGGAACGAGGCAAGCTTCAAAGGCGGATGGGCCTGGTTTTGAATTCTAGCTTCAGCCTTGAGCTGAAATGGCTTATCCTTTTTGGGCTTTAGTTTCTTTATCTTAAATGGAGGAAATACTATTTTCAGAGTTCTTGAATGCTTAGTGATAGTAGCAAAGAATAGGTGGTCATTAAATGGTGCAGATGGGGATGGCGGTGGTGGTGGCAGCAGCTGTTGTTAATCCTCCTCCAGATGGTCCAAGCTTATTTCCCGTAACATTGTTCTATGTAAAGATAAACAATAAGACCGAGACTATTTAAAAAGCTAAACAGAAATAATCTCTACAGATTGTCCTTGCAGTAAAAAATTCTAATTGCTCAGCTAGATTTGGAGACCAATTCCCATTTTGACACATATGATAATTAAACTTTTGTACAGCAAAGTATTTCCAATCTCAACGATGACTCTCTCACTTACTTTAGGCCAGACAGGAAACTCACCTGTGTGGGATACACTGTGACTAAAGACAAAGCCCCATGCCAGTACACGAAGCTCAGATACACCCAAGGCTGGACGAGGACAGTAGGTGGAACCCATCTCAAATATTCAAAACCAAGAAACTTAAATCAGACACAATCTGATTCATTTCCTGTGCGTGGTACAGCTAAATGTGGAACAGCTCCCTCCAAATCGAATTGTAACAAAATTGGACTTATTTCCTATCCTTTCCTCACTCAAAACAAATAATTCAGAAGTGCCACAAAACTTTTATCCTATGACTTACTCCTTTGTCTAGTTTGCTATTTTGCCTTGTCAGTTCCATGCACATCCCACTAAACTCTAAAGAGCTACTTTGTTCCAAGGCGCTGTGCAGAGAAAGCAGAGCGAACCTGCCTCGAGTGCCTGCCATGTTCTAATTCTGCTGAACACTTCTTGTGTCTTGTCTCTCAGAACCTCATTCCCTGACCTTGAGGGACTTATATGTAAATGGAAAAGGCAGAACTATACACAATCGCGACACACTGCATGCATTGTAATTTAGATGCCACAAGAGGGGCAAGTGCAGAAGAGAAGGGTGTAAATCCCAACTAGGAAAATAAAGATGACTCCAAAGAGGAGGCAGCATTTGACTTGGGTCTTGAAGAAGGAGCAGAACTTTAAGAAAGTTGGGAAAGAGAATCTTGCCATTGTGGGTGGAGTATATTGCTAAATCTTAAAGGTTCTTTAGAGACCAAATAAACCCATGGAGCTGGGTCTTATTTATCGAGAGGAAGAAGAGTTGGGGTGGAAGGAGAAGTCCCTATATATGCTTTCTACAATAACTACAGGTCAGGGAAATGACTAGCAACAGAGGTCTGTCTTCTTGAGTGGATAATCCCTTTCTTATTGTTGACAAATTCAGATTGGCTGGTGTAAGGAGCTCTGAGGGTCCAAGCTGTGAAACAGACCTGGAGGGGCTTAGAGGCCTAGTGCAGGCCTCCTGAACCGTCCAGGGGCAGTCCACATCATGTTGGTCTGGGCTCCAACTGTTCAGCCAGACGAAGGCTAGGAGAGGAGCAGAGATCTGGCTGTAATACCCATAACACGAAGCATTACCCAGTACCTCGTAAATTCTGCGTCCATTAGCTGAGTGGCCCTGGGGCTTTATGACTTGCTCTTTTTGTAAATCAGAAATAATAACAAGAACCGCTCACCATCTTCTCATCCTGCTGGAGAGAACAAGTATTTCATCTCATTAGACAATTACAGCTGCTGCCCCAGACAACTAACTCCATTCCAACCCCCAGGATACAGAAGTGGATGAAAAATCTGTGCTTCCATCCTGACCCACCTAACCAGGACTCAGTCACAAGAAGCAACTTAGTCTGTTTCTTATCAATGAAGGTTGGCAACGAAACCAGTTCAGGAGGAAAGGTGATTGTTTTCATGCATCAAACCTTCAGGGTTGGATGAGATGACCCTGCAGTGAGGCCAGCAAGGCCCCAAATGAAAGGGGTCCCTGACAATTCATCCAGATGCCAATCTTCCCCATTCCAGTTTACTCTGCCCTTTCGTTCACACCCTTCCTGGGCCTGGACGTGTTGATAGCTGGCTAGGACAGCAGGGAGGTGATGTGGAAATGAATTTATCTTGCAAGGCAAGAGAACAGGGCTCTCCTCTGGGGCAGTTCACCCAGCTCTGGGCAGCTTCATGTTGAATCCCCAAAAGTATGTGTCTGCCTAGTGCTGATTCACCTCCACTAGTGGGTGGATCACTCCGAGGCAGGATACAAATTTCCAAACAATGTTTTTCCCTGAAGGATGAAACACATGAGATAGGAAGATATCAGTCACTGCCAGACTTTCAGAATGACAGATCCTGATGACATTAATACACACACAGAACTTCCATGACTAGGAGTCCACGGTGTTTGTTGTTACCAAGCAGCTCAGATTTCTGCAGGGTCTCTGGGAGGGGTGTGTCTCGTCTGCCACAAGTGCCCTGATCCACGCCCAGGAGGCTGGGCCTCCTGACTGGTCCTTGGACAGAAACCTGGCCCCCGGGAGGAAGTCTCATTTTTATTCCTTGGCATTTGCTCCACTTTTCTCTGTCTTCTTATTATTAGTTCCTGACCCACTCTTATTGAATGGCCCTCTTTTAATTAGTTAGTTAGGTAATAAATTACCATCTATTTGTGATATAATTAACACTGATGAACCACTCCAAAGAACCAGAACATCGACAATGACACATATCTGCCAATGCACTGCTTCTCCATCCAGTCCCTCTTCCTGCCCCATTCAGGGCAGCTACTTGTCTGTTATTACTTTGATATTCTTTCTAAACAGTTTATTATATATAGGGTTTTATTTATTTTATTTTCTGTACTATTGTTTCTAACAATAGTAAACAATATTCCTCTGGGTCTTAATTTTTTACTCAATATTTATATAATGTATATACACTATATAATATGTACATACTATATTCCAGCCTAGAGTTAGTTCTATTTCATTCATTTTTACTGCCATTGTGTGGCAGTGCCACAGTTTCTATACCCAATATCCCATCAAAGGGCATTTATTGTTTCTGGGTATTGTATCCTATTTGCTAATTTAAATGGTGCTGTTGCAACAGTGTTGTATGAGGGTCCTAGAACCGAAGTGAAAGTACTTTTTTCAAATGTATACACCTGACACTGAGATTATTGGGTCACGGGGTGTGTGAACATGCACCTTTATAAGATAACCCTAAACTACTTGCCACATTTGATATGATCAGATTTCTTAATTTTTGCCACCAAATGAGCACACATAGTAGTGAGAAGTAATTGCGACACACATTTTGAAAATAATCTGGAAATACTTATTAAAATTTTAAATGGACTAGTTCCTTAACACAGGAATACTACTGTTGAACATGTGTTCTAAAAAAGTTATTAAGCCAGGTATATAAGTAAAATTTAAGAATATTTATGACACTATCTTTTGTAATAGCAAAAGCCTGAAACAAGATGAAGAGTCATCAATAGGTAATTGCTTGAATAAATTATGGGAGATCCATACATAGGTTAAAATGCAGAGTGGGGATGGGCTATGGGAGCAGAAGGTAGGCTGGAGGAGAAGAGCAAAGAGGAGAATATTGGGACAACTGTAATAGAATAAATAAGAATAAAAATAAAATGCAACCATTAAAAACCGTGCATGACTTGGACAATGCTGGCTGGCCGCTGTTAGGTGAGAAAAGCCAGTCGCAGAGTGACGTGTATGATCTGATCGCAGGTTAGGTTTTCTAAACACGTGTGGGGTGGGTGCTATGTGGTTTACGTTTGTTCGTGGGGGCAGAAAAAAGGTGCGAACCAATACACATGGCCGGTTATTTCAGGAGAGTGGGTCTGGGTGAGGGGGAAGACGGCAGAACTGGGGCTAGAATTAAGGTTCTTCTATAACATCTTTTATTTATGTTTTTAAGAGGAAGGCTAGTCTATCGAATGATCCATGTAATTGCTGAGGCCATTATGTGCAGGTAGAAGGTGGAGCTTTATTTCTTGGTCTCTTTCTCCTTGGATGGAGTTGTGCTGATTTCTTCCTTTTTGGCCTGGAGCTGCTCTTCACAGCCCTTGGGAGCTTCTTTGGTCTTAGACCTCCGGGCCTCAGCCTGGTCAGCCAGAGGCTACTTGTGAGCCCCATCCACCTTCAGCTCGTGGATGGGTTCCCTGAGAATCTGCTTGTTTTTGAACATGTTACCTCTTTACTTTCAGGAACAGGCTGTGGTCCATGTGGTGATCAATATTCTTTGATTCACAGTATCTTCTGAGTAGCTAGGAAGAATACTCCTCCTCCTCATCCAGGTCACCGTCTCGGGCCTTTGAGTACTGGCAGTACTCTGCCCCTTACCTATGCCCACGTGCCTGCCCTTCCTGCAAGCCAAGTTATATTCCCAGCCATTGAGCCCAGGAATAGACTGTCACAGCTTCCAGACGGTCAGCATATTTGGTCATTTTCTGAATTTGCTGACAGGAGTTGGCAATGGTGACTTTATAGGTTTTGCCGGGGTTCAAACAGACCTTTTTGCCACAGTGGAGGACACTGGAGGCAAGCCTCTTCTGAAGCTTGGTCATCCTTGTGGCTTCGGTTGCAGTGGCGAAAGGAAAAAAAATTCTTGTTCTACAGTCTACCTCTGCATGTGTCCACCCTCTATTTCATATTCGGTGTCTTGGTATTCCCACATTATACAATAAAATGCCTTATCTAGTACTCACTGTCTGTCAAGAGCTATCCCCAGCTTACCACGTCTCCTTCTCACCTACATATGCAATATGTTTTAGCCAAATTACACTGGACTCTTTTCTAAACGTTCCATGGACTTTTCTACCTCTTTAGCTTTACTTATTCTGTCTACCTGGAACCTCCACCCTGTCCCCACTTTCTCTCCATCACCACCTAAAAATCTTGTTTATTTCCCATGTCATTGGCACAGGGCACTTGGTGCATCCACCTGCAAAGCCACCAGAAAAAGTTATCTCCAGGTCCCACTCTTTAGGTCACTTTAGAAGGGTACATCCACCCTATTGCCCAAGATGTCTGAGAGCCATGACCTAAAAGCCATCCTTGAATTCTTCTTCTTCCTCTCCATCTCTCTCACATCCCACATCCAATCTGAGACTGATTTTAGCTAAGTCCACTTTCCTAAGTTGCCCAGATTTCTCAAACCTGTCCCCTCCCTCTTTGTACATCTTAGTTGAAATCCTCATTGCCTCTTGTCTTGAATATCATGCTGGACTTTCTCTGTATTGCCCCCAGAGCCATACGCTTAAAACAGAGGTGTGACTTCTGCTTCAGCTATGGCTGAGTAGCTTGTAGCGGACCAACCTTCCTTCCGATAATAACTAGAAAGTCAGATAATATATATTGTTTTTAAATAAATCCTTTTGGAGTCATTGGAGAGCCACCAACACCAAATATGTGAAGTATCAAAATCTTGGAAATAAGGGACATACACAGAGCCTGACATGCAAGTCTTCTTGAGGCATTTGCCTTTTTGTAAGTGTCCCTCTATAATCTAACAAACTGAGAAGAGCATTTGACAATCTCATGGGGCCAGACGGGCCAAAGCGGTAGTGCAAGCCCCGTCAAGACAAAGGAGTCCTTAGCTGCTGCTGGTCAGAAACAAGAGTGTCCTCCAGAGCACTGAGTAATAATCTATGCCAGCAGTGTTCATTTTCCATGATGAAGGAAATGCTCTAGAATGTGCACTGACTGATGCAGCAGTTACTAGCCATATGTGGCAACTGAGGCCTTGAAATGTGACTGATACTACTAAGGAACTGAATTTTTTATTTAATTTTAATTTAAATAGCTACATGCGGCTCACAGCTGGTGTTTTGGGCAGTGCCGCTCTATACAAAGTCTGGTTTTCAATAAAAAATCACCAGGGACATCAGAAGGCAAGATCAAATGACTGAAAACCAAGAGAAAAAAAATAGATCTAATGAATCCAGAGGATGTCCAGATATTGGAGCTATCAGATATGAGCTTTGAATCAAAGAGACCACAACTCCCTGTATTCGTTAAGATTAGGTTTGGCCAAATATTATAAGACCCCAAAATAACAATAATTTAAACACCATAAAAGCTTCTTTATTTCCATAAAAGAAAAGATGATTCACAGAATTGGTGGCTCCTCTTTCTACTCTGTTATTTTCAGTTCTGGCCTTCATCATCAAGATGACTTTGTAGTTTAAAAGGGCTGCTGGAAGAATGAAAACAAAGACACTGAAATAGAGAACAGGGGGACAGTGACCAGAGGGGAGAGGGAAGGGAAGTTAAGGGGAAAAAAGGGGAGGGATTTGGAGGAACAAATAGGAAGGACACAGGGACGAGAACTAAGGGGGGTGGAAATGGGAGGGAGGTGGGGAGCACGGGGCGGGCAGGGGCTGGGATGGGAGAAATAGACAAAAAACTGTACTTGAAAAATAACTAAATAAAATTTTTAAAAAAGGGCTGCTGGAATTCTACCCATCAGGTTCAAAGAAGAGGAAACACAGCTGGGAAATGGGGTCTTACCTAGCTAACTCATTTCCCTTTAAGCAGGCTTCCTCCAAGTTCCACGGCACTCTGCTTGTAATGTTTGGTCAAAAGTTATTCATTTGGCTACCTTTAACTGCATGGAAAGCTGAGGAAGGTAATCATTTGTTCTGAAAATTAATAGCCCCAGCTAAACAGCAGAGTTCTGTAAAAAAAAGAAGGAAGGAGAGAATAAATAACGGAGTAGGTAATGAGCCATCTCTGTTATACATTCCTATTTCCAGATCTTCGGCAACCCCCCACTGCCGGGCACATAGCGCCCTTCACAATTGGGCCTCTGAGTCTCGTTCCAGTTCTAGTTCCTGGTTCTCTCTCCAGATACTCTACACTATAATCACCTCTCGTCCCTGACCACTTCTAAAACACCCAGATGCAAGACTCTACGCTTTTGCTCTTGCTCCTTCCTCTGATAAGTCTGGCTCATTTTCAAAGCTTAATTCAAAGGTCTTCTTCTTTTGTGTTCTCTTTTCCAGCTCTCCCAGTCAGAATCAAAGCCTCTCTCCTGGTTCCCCCAGCACTTTGTGCATTCCTGCATTTCTGCGTTTGTGTTGAATTGTAACGACTGGTTCTCATGCCCTCTGTCTTTCTAAACTGTGAACTTCACATTGGGGGCACAACTTATTTTCCATCTTTCTTAGAAAGTATATATATTTTATTGATTATGCCATTACAGTTGTCCCATTCCCCCCCTTCATTCCCCTCCACCCTGCATACCCCCTCTCGCCCAC